TATGTAACACTTTAGTGTATTGAAAGTGGAGTCGAATGATACTCTGTAGGTAGTGGTTATTTTTACCCACAATCATCGAACATTTTCAGAAATTTTTGTAAAATCATTTTTGGTAATCCGATGGTTTTAATATTAACCGATTACTTTAGTTGAACTTTGAAGAATAATTATTCTTAGTAGTTTTATGTAAGTAAGTACCTATAATAAGTATAAATGCATACAAAATTAACACTTATATTCTAGAAATTAAAATATCTACACTCTTCATGGCGCAGTTACAGTTATATTGTAATCAAACTAAGTAGTTGAAAAGTGAATGGATATGATTGTTTTATTCCAAACGACCAAACATATATTATATGTATATCCTTATAATGATTTTAATTAAAGATATACAAACGTATGGAATTTGAAATATAATTATAAACGTCTGCTTTGAATATTGGGATTGCGTCTAGATCGACGATGTTTTCTAAAAGACTTGGTCAGTATAAGAAAAAAAAACTTGTGTCTTAGGAAAGTATATATCTTAGACGTAATTATCTATTCAATAATAATTGCACATCGTGTTATTGATAGTGCCCTAGTTTAAAAATTCAATTAATAGATAATATAGATGATGTTGAACATCGTGTATTATTTTAGTTGTGAATAAATTTATGGTAGAGAAGTACCGTAGTCGATATAGCAGGTATACATACGACACGACTATCCAATATTATGTTTTCGGCGTCATGTTTCGAATCAGCGGAGGTCAAGCGAATTAAATTAATTTTAAAATTTGCATTATTCGTGGATCTCGTATACCTGCTATAGTACCTTCTTCTTTAATAGTAAAACAACATATACCAGTGATACGTTATAAACCACACGCTGATTTTTTTTGTGTGGGTATGTGTAGGTACCTACTAATGAGTAATGATCGACTAATTTGCAGGAGGTCGGTGTTAATAATCATACATGAATCGTATCCGATTTAATAGAACTAATGATGATCGCTTCCCTATTTACTATTATAAAACGGTTGTAGTTTAGTTTAAACGCATTGTCACAATAGTCATTGTTAATTAGTGCTATTTACTGATTTGTTTGCATATTATATGCCTATGTTGTTAGCACAGTTGTAAAGTATTTATATTTTAAACACTTCTTTTCTGACTTTATATTTAAAATATAAAATACAAAAAAAAAAACTCTGATTGACTAATCGATAAAGCTTGATTCGTGCTTAATTTTTTGCTTAGTCTCCACTTAATGGAAAATAATAATACTTAATCATCATATAAGTAATGTATACACTAAAAATCTTATCTTGATAAATTTCGGTCCTCAAGAGCTTTTATGGACTAGTTATTATTTAAAAATATTTAAATTATTTTATGAATTTATTTTTGTGTGTAATTAATTATAATACAATATCTTGAAATATATTGTGTTATACAATTAGTATTTAAATACCTAACTTGAAATACATTTCGGAAGTATTTTATTAATAAATATCATTATTTAGATAATATATGTCTTTGTATAACAGTCATTACACCCATCACCACATGTCTCAAGAAACAGTTCTAAAAAGTATTCACTTTTTTTCACACAGTTTTTTGGGCTTAGCCATAATATATATAAAAATAAAGTAATTCGAGTTTTCAGTATGAGGATAAATATGAATATTTAATCGTAGGTACTCGTGCATCTATTAATTGCAAGTTTATCGGAAAAAACCGATTTTTTCCATAACAAAACGTCATAGCTACATAGTTATAGCTTTCCAGTCAAATTCAAAATCATCTTCGGGAAATTCCATCATTCAAACACACGCGCTATAGTCGGTTTCCGTCCGTATGGTATTCGTCTACCTACCTTATTCCGAGTACATAAAAAATAAAAAATAAAACTGTGAAACCAGGCTAGCTGTCTCGGCCTCACGTATCTAACCGTCGCATGCGTAGGTGACGATCTTTTTTATTGTTATGCGATTGTTATTAGCGCATTTTCCACGACGTTTTATAAGTAGGTATACATTCCGATTGACGTGCTAATCCATCGAATCCCGGATAACGGACATAATTGTAAACGATAAACGTGTACACAATGTCGTTTGGGACGAGCGTTTTGGAGGACCTCTTATTATTGCGATTAGTCACACGATTTGATTGCGTCTTTTCGATTTTACGCTACACGACCGTGACAATAGTTAGGGTTGTTAAAACATTACGCTTCTGCAATAAAATCGGTTGTTATAATAAATACCCCGGCATTAATGACGAGTGACGATAACTCGCTACCATATAATATGCAAGCGCCTACATTTCTTTTGAGTAATAATTTGAGCACGATATGCGAACCAGTGCGACGACAATCGACGAAAACTGCCGCAAACAGAAATCTACAATAGTATATACTTATCGAATAAATAAATTCAGTGCTCCAAAAAATTCGGTGAAGCCGGGTTCCCCAATGTCTAATTAAGAAATGAAAATTTAATAGAATTAAATTTAAACAAATTATTGTCAATAAAACTAATTACGAAAAACGAAAAAAGCGAAAACAATAATATACATTCATCATTTAAATTACATAACAAATAATATTATGACATTGTACTTCTTTCGAATTTTGGATTAGGAATACCTTTCGCCGGTAGTCAATGGTTATTTATTGGCACAACTAAGTTTAATATTTGGGGAAGGCAGTGGCCATAATCTAAACTTAACATGTATGAAAATCTAAGTAGCTATATAAAAATAAAATCCATAACTAAGCTTAAAGCTTCCGAAAGATAAAGTTTGAAAAATTTCAAGAAAATGCTTGGTGAACCAATTCTATACTATTGCTAGTTCACCATTGTCATTTATAAATATTTTATAGTCAGAATTATAAAGCAACCTAATATTATTTGTTATTGGTGTTAACTCATTATGTACTTATTATTGTACTAGATGTATATATATATATATATATATTATACTATTGACTTAAAAATAATTTTAAATTTATATATACTTAGAAGAATATATTAGATGAAATAAACAGAAAATCAATTTTTTTTTTTGAACTATGGCCATTTGCATTTTGTAGATGTTATGGTTGGTTGAGGAATACCCGAATACGTGTATGTGGGCCGAGGAATTGTCACTAAAAGCACTAAAAATCCTGGTGGTCCATCCGGGAACTATAGCGAAGCCAACCGACGCTTTACCTCAAACATGTTAATGACTGAATCCAACCACCTAGCAATATAAGGCCACAATCACTTTTTTATATTTGAATATAAGCTATAGGTATTTGAAAAGCAAAATTAGAGGGAGCTGATCCCCCCCCTAAAAAAAATCCACCCCAATCATTCCAAAAATAGTAATAGAATACAACTTTTTTAATAATAATTTTATATTAAATACTTTCCATAAGTTGTGTTTTGTTGTACCTACATAATATCGGCGAATAAAAGTGAGGAAAAATATATTTACTGTAAGCTAAATATATTTTTGTTTTTTTTATTGGTTAAAATGTTACACTTACATGTTTTTCAATGATTAAATTGGATGAGGGTTTATTGACGTGATGACTATTCGCCCATTGACGGAACCTCACGATAAAATTCTAAAACAGAAAATTAGAAATTATTGAAAACATACCATTGAAAACCACCTACCTACTTTAACCAACAAAATAGTATTTATATTATTAATATTATATCGAATTTTGGTAGCCATTTTTGATTTTTCAACTACCAATATTTCAAATAACATGGAATTATAAGTCTACGAATATAATTATAAGTTAATATAAGAACCGGGAACATCTTAAAGTTTAAACAGAAAAAAGTTAGAACTTTTTAATTCTGTTGATTTTTTTCAAACGATTTATGACTATTAATAATTTAGGTACTATTTTTATGTTTAGTAAGCAATGGAATGCTTAACACAATTTGTATGTGTTTTCTATTTGTTTAAAATTGTTTTGACGCCTTTTTTTTATCTGCACCGGACATCAAATTTCCTAGATCCGGCTCCGTGATGGGGCTGCCATGTTGAAGAGGTCTTTGAGGTTAGGTTACCTAAGGTTATCGCGGTTGTTAACCGATTCCCATATTGGTATTTATCATTACTGAAATTTTAACAGGTCATGCGTGTTTGAACTGTGATAAGTTCTTGATAATTGGAAATCACGTTTGTGGTTCGGGAAAGGCAGCCGCCATTTCTTTTGCAAATTATTGTATAAACAATACTTAACTACCAACGGAAGTATACACCTCTGTGTACATATATTATTAATTATTTATTATACGTATTTGCTAACACCGAACACACCCGACGTACACACTTTCGTCAATTTAAAAGTATTGCGGTCTGCGGCGAACCTATATACAGCCACGATACGTTAAAAATAAATTAAACCGTCTACGACTAGGAATGCTTAAAATTCATATATCATGGTATTATTATCTTTAATGATAAATTGTATGATCTCTGCTGGTTATATTGCAAGCCTCTATCGAAAATTTCGGGACCCCGAACTTCTTATATAGACACACAATGTGTGCAGTGTGCACAATATAATATTATAGTTATAACTATAGGTTCTGCGCGATACGGACGGGATACCCTATTTATTATTATTATTATTATTACTAGTTATTTAATTTATTTTTTTTAACATTACAGAGTATATAAGTGTATACTTGGCTTTAATACAGGAAATTGTTTTTAAAGATTATTTTTGTAATTAGAAGACGATTTTAAATTAGGAAGTATAAAGTATTATTGGAATTTAAAGAAATTAAAAATTATATAACGGAAGAGATACTATTGATACAGGTATGAGAAAATTGTAAGCTGGTGTGGTGGGTACACGATGGAGCGATGGGTGGTCTAATTATTTGCCGCCCTTAAATATATTAGTTACTAATGTCTAATTACCATAATAGTCTTATGATATCCAACACTCGAATATTATTGTAAACGATTGGTAAATTTGTTACAGAATGATACCTCAGCATGTCCCAGGATCGCTTGACCGCTCTTCGGCTGCTGTCGTACTGTTGGCTGACCGTCATGTTGCCACCCAACACTTTGGCATTTAACGTCGTCTACAACAAGGAACCGTCATCGTCTTCTTCGTTTCAGTCATCACCTTTCTACCAAAGTACACAAATCGATATGCCTACTACGTAGTTGGTGGTGTGCGCAGAGTAATAGAAAAATAAAAACAAATTTTGTCGATTTTGATTAATTTTTCAATCCGCTCAATGCTCCATGCAGTTTTTTTTTCGTTCCAATATCTTACACACAATATTTATTGATGTATTGACCATCGGTTAATGGGTATTGGACGGGCTAAACCACATGATTATAAATTATAATATATTAATATTCTTTATATATATTTCCCTGTGCCCGCCACTGACTAGCATAATACTTAACTATGTAATAATATGTTCAGATGTTTTTATAATATAAAGGTAATATACTGCTTCAGGGTGGATCACAAATACCTACTCATGGTATAAATAAATAATTTTCAAAACTTTTAAAATCTATTGTCATAACCTGTAGAAAACATACATATAGAAATAAGTACTGAATTGTATGCAATAGATTTCAATGTTTATAAGGTATATATAGTTTATACATGTAGTCAATGTTTATTGATTATGCAAATAGATAGTTTTTCAGGTACCTAATCTATTTTCATTTCAAATTACGATAGTCATGTTAAAAACATAGGCATACGTATTGTGTTTATATTATGTATACTTTATGGGATTTTTAACTTTTACAAATTTTAACTCGAGATCTAAGTACGAAAACAAATAGAAAGGCTGTTATTCTCTTTTAAAAATAATCAAAAATTAATAATCTTATTGAGCATATTTTATAATAATATTGTAAACTGTTCCAAATGTACACACTACTTACAGTGGTCGGTTATAGTGAAATATTCTATATTATGCACATTATTATATAACTACACTGCTACACTATATTATGACGATATATTATTGAGTGAAACTTTGTCATCTATTGCATATAGATATTATACTTGACTAAGTTATGTTAGGGGGGCATGTGTCATATCCTCCAGTGTCCTTTTGCAAAATTAAATAAAACAAACTAATGATGTTTAGAAATCTAATATTGTTATTAATATTCATAAAAATGTTTTAAAAATGTTTCACATAAATAAAAATATTTCTTAAAAAAGACGCCACACCCGCATTTTTTGTCAATAATTTAACTATTAATAGAGTTCCTCATAACTTACTTCAAAATTTAAATATCATAAAAAACCCAATGAGAAACAAAGATAAATAATAGGCAATGTTCTTAATTTCTTATCATGTGTACGTTATTTATTGATCATGACTCAATATACTTTAATATTTAAGGTAACCAGTAATGACGGAAATGGTTTTACTCAACAAACATTTACTATATTGTATGTTTGTATATGGCCATGATAACACATGAAGGTGTGGCGTACTCTAAATGTAAAAAAAACTATGGTATAAACTATAATGCAGGTTGTACTAAACCACAGCGATAGTATGAATTATAATATCATTATCTCATGATAGTTTAAAAAGACTGTCACTGTACTTTATGTTGCTGTCATACCTATCCACAGGAGTACCTACGTATGATTTATTATTATTTATTATTATTATTATTATTATTATTTAAGTGTAGAAGTAGTTGTTATACAAACTCAAGTATCAAAAATCTAGAGGTAATTTACTAATTTATATAAGAATTAATAACTATTTGTATAAACATACCCATTACACATTTACAGTCTTGTATTAATGTATAAATGTATTCGAATACTTTTATTTGAATTTTTTATTCATTAAAAATATACTTTTTTCCGATCCAGAAAAATAGTTTTAAATTTGTGACAAGACATAATATGTAATATATTATAATATTATTATAAATCATGAACATTAATTTTATTTTTTGAACGAAATATATTAGTGCCCATGGTATTTATGATTATTATTTATTTTTTATAAACACCAATGTGTTGTATCCCGTATGGCCCATATCAGCCGTATCATATGTGCTCAAAATTTATAAATACCTTTGATTCCGATGTATTTCTAATTATTAATTAATAAATGATAATTATACCGATCATTCAAAAACTGATAAAAACTAGTTGTGAAAACCAGTATTCTTATAGTATTCGAATACGTATTCTGAATACTTTAATTCTCATTTATTCGATTATGTATTCCGAATACAAAATAAAAGTATTCTTTATAAGACTGCACATTTACATATAGGAATAACTCCTTTTGTATTTGAGGTGCATGTGTCTCACCTTAATATATTTTTGAATACACTAATGCATTTTTAAGGGTTTAATTTTTTTAAATTTATATATAGTAGATATCTCTACTTTTTGTATATAGGTTAGGTATTTTTCCAATGGCCCTCCTCCCCCATCCATAAAAAACTATATAATATACACTACTAACTTGTCTTTTTATAATTAAAAAAAAAAGAAGCTGTCCGTTTGAGATCCTCTCTACAGTTAGCTATAACTAAGGTTTGGTATATAAATTGCAACTCTTCGAGTATTTTGCATTAACACTTGTGATCTGCCCTCATGCGAGTATTTTATAGTATTTATATTACATTTTATGTAGAATTTATATTGTAAGATTATCGTTTCGTAACGTCCACGTCGATTTATCTCTTTCAGCTGGCAGCAGAAAGTTTGGCGGCTACCGAATCGTACCCCGAGCGTGCAAAGACGAAACTCATCCGTACAAGAACGATGTATCCATCACCACCCCCACCGGAACCGGAACCGGAACAGGCGTGTGCATGTTCAACTATGAGTGCACGCAACTGGGCGGCTCGGTGGTCGGGTCTTGTGTGGACGTGTTCCTGTTCGGCGCCTGTTGTCGGCTGCCGGCCGGCGTAAAACTGCCCTCCGCGATCGAACAGAGCGCGTCCACGGCCACGGCCGCAACCACCTCGACACCCGGCACGCACTATAACGATCTGCCGCCGCTGTCGTTCCAACAGCCGGTGGCCGACACCATACTGATGCACCGTAACGGGTCGGCCGTACAAAACACATACAGGCCGGACGACCTGTTCGGTAACTTCACGGCCCTGATGCAGGCCCACCGAGACCGGTTACCACCGGCGGCTGACATGACAGACGTCGTGCAACAGTACACCACGGACGGCGGTTACCATCAATACAATCATCACCAGCACCGACCCCCGCCGTTTGCCGGAAACAAGATCACGTCAAAGGTGGATTACGGTGATGTGGCCACCGTCAAGCTGCAGACGTCGCAGTCACCGCCATATTCGTCATCGTCGTCGCCGGTGTCCAAGTCGACGGACTCAGTGCCGAACATTCGGAAGACGACGCCGTCGGCGGCCACTGTCCAGGCGACCACGTCCAAACAGGGTTACGGCGGCGCGCACCACAACCATCACAAACACCAACACCCGTCGGCCGCCGATGACTATTACGATAATATGGTGCTGATACCCACGCTGACGGTTAATGACCCCAACGTCAAGGAAAACAACTCCATCCATCATATACTGTCCATACTCAACTATACACCACCCACGCCCGACAGGCATCACGTGGATCCGATGGACGCTTCACCGTCGTATGTCGTCCACCAGATGCAGTCGAGTAGTCCACCACCCACACCACCACCCGCCCTATACACGTGGGGCTCGATTGACGGCGATTCCAAGTCGCCCGGTTACGGGGCGTCCACGTTCCCGGTCACCAGGCCCTCGTCCACCATCCACTCGTCGACGACGGCGCAGCAGCACTACGACCGGCCTACTAACTATTACGGATCGACACCGTCCACCACGACCACCACGTCCAGCCACCACCTGCCGGGACCACATTTCCACGTTCTGTCCACCACAACCACACCCAAGCCGTTGGAACCGGTCGCGCCCACTGTCATTGTCCTGAGCCCAGCCAACGATTCGAAAAATCCCAACAAATACACAACGCCCTCGTCTTCGTTGTACACGGCCTCCTCGTCATCGTATCGTCCACCACCCTCGTCGCACGTCAAACCGTCGCAGAGCATCATCGTGACGGGCAAACCGTCTGTGAGCGCAGCGTACACAACTACAGCCACCTATCACCATCCTCAACACCAGCACCAGCAGGACGCGGCTTTCGTGCCGGTCAGTTCGACCACGATGGCAGACAAATATTACAACGCCAACTACCAACCAACCACCAGCGCCTTACATACGTCAGCCAAGCCACTGGTTTCCACAAACTATGGACACCGCCCGGCATCGACGACGACGACGACCACAACAACCACCGGGATACCCCCGACGCTCAGCAGTGCGTTACACCACGATGGCTCTAACAACAACGTGTTCACCACGGTAATAACGTCGGTTAACCATCAATACCACAAGTACCAGCCAACGGCGACGGGTAACGGTGGCTCGAGCTCGTATTCGACGGCCAAACCGGTGGTGAATGACGGTGGAACGGTGGCCGTGCTGTCGTCCAGTGGTGGCTATAGACCGTCGTCCACTGTCGACGACGATTACCCGACACCCGTAGTGACGCCTGCCACGCAGGTGTTTATCACCGCCTCCGACGTGCACCACCTGCAGCAGCACCACATTCAGCAGCAGCTGCACCACCATCTACAGCACCACACGTCGTCGTCTTCGTACCCGGTTACTCACGGGTCCACTTCCGACGATGACGTGGGCGCCGTTCCGTTCAACTCCACCGACACGTTTGCTTTCCCGCCGGTCCGTGACCCCAACGTCAACCTGACCGCAGCCACGCAACAGGAGAAACCGGACGTGACCGTCGTCGACTCGGCTGGCGATTACGATGCCGACTCCGAACCCAACCCGCAGCTAACGGTCGACGACAACCTGGACGACAAGGTTCACCTGTTCGTCGAGAAGGTTGTCCAATCGTTACAGGGAAATTTTGAGGACCTGGAAAAGGTCCTTTTGTCAGGTGACCCGTCGTCTTCCAACGTGACCATCGGTAACGACGACCCGGCTGGCTGGCCAACAAAGAAGCCCGCGTACGCTACGCCGACAGCCGCTACGCCTACGAAGAAACCGTCAAAACCAGCGGCCGTCAAGCCCACAAAACCGCCAACGCAGCCCGTCAAGTGGACTTCCACCACGACGTACCGGCCGACGCCGATCAGTTCATTGCTGGACGCCGCCCCGTACCTGGAGCTGACCACTGTGTCTCGGCCTACCAAGTACCCCACCCTGCTCACTCCCGTTCAGCTGTTCCAGCCCACCACGTACGCCACGGACAACAAGCGGCCGACCAAACTGCCCATCAAACAGACGCCTTCCACGACGGTCGTGCTGGACACGCTCAACGTCGAACACGACCATCACACCACAGCTGAACCGGACTACAGGAAAAGTACGTGAGATCGTTATCATGTAATCTACGATTTGATTGACAAGGGGGGTAGGTGGCGGTGATGGGGGATTCTAAAGACGGTTGTGGTGCCATTTAAGCTTTTTTCGTGGGTCTGCAAACATTTAAAGGAGCCAATTTCACTGAACCACCTGTAGTCACAATAAATTACTAAAAACATTTTTGATTTCTAAACATAAAGTTATGATTATTTTTGTATTATAGGGTTTTCTTATATCACTTTCGGGTCATAAAATAACATATTACATCAAAATGTTTATAAGTATCTATGTAATTAAGTATATATTATAATATATCAATATATTATGCGAAATTTAGAATCAAAATTAATTATCCATTCTGAATTTATGGCTAAGCAATAAGCATACACTAAATGATATATTTGTAGTGAATTTTATTTCAGGAGTAGCGAATCCAAGTAGTTAAAAAAACGATACCATACTATAATACGAATTACGAGTAGAAACAATAATCATTTCGTACCACAATCCGATGATGTTATATAATTATATAATATATTTATGGATTTTATTAAGCGTGCTGGTTTTGGTACAACAATTTTTTTTGTTGGACCCATGGATCGTATATTATATTACTATCGTGGCATGTAGTTCTACGTACAAGATCGTAAGCACAGATATAATAGGTATGTTAAATCAAAAAATACTTAGTTCTGAACATCGCAAACGTGAAACAGAGTCGCCAGACGTGTACAAACAACGATAAGGAGAGTGCTTTTTTTTAGTAATTCGTCCATCCCCTCGAAAACAGAAGATATCTAGATTGTAGAATATGAAATCACACAAATACATTATATTATATTATACCCTAAACGACGTGAATGTGTGTTTTCTGTCAATGCATTATTTTTCGGCGACCCGTCTTGGCCCAGTCATCACGGCAATAATGTTTTAATATACCAATCTTTCATATACCGTACACCGTAAACACAGCTGTATAGTTGTTACGAATTCCCGTCCGGGTAACTTAACGGTAATATTTATTACAATATTTTAATGTGTGTAATAAACACGTTGACGTGTTGACTACAACGCTCTTACCCATCGTACACAGACGGTTATTATGTATCGGTTTTTGAGTATTTAACATTCTTTGGTGGTCGATCGTGTATTATTATTATCATACGGATTTTCGAAATCGTTCTGTGTAGATCAAATTTATTACGCTTTATAGGTTTTCGTACGGAAATTACGTAGATAGATATACTCACAAGACATAATATATGGATTCTATAAGATTTTATAAAACAGTATTAATCGTCCTTGTATAATATATATATAATTATATTATATCTACATACTATCTATGTAGTGTACGACTGTGGCAGTTGAGTTACACGAAACTAATAAAATAATTTATTATAATATGATTATCGTTAAGCCATAACCTGAGATGTATTCATATAATTAATTTCAATATTATTTAAGTATTATTTAGTTATTGATTTAAAATAACTCTTTTAAACTTTAGGGTTCCATAATGTATGGCATACCAACTATATATATATATATATATATATATATACATTTATTATATAGGAGGCATAGGTATTATGTCTTATAATATAATATATTATGTATAATACATTTTTGGGGTGGTCCATGATAATTATTAACTAAATAGTGGATACCAACAATTTTTACGTACATTTTTCTGATTTACAAATCATTTTTACATCATTTTTACATCATATTATAATATATACTAATATTTGATTTTAAAATGTGCGAAATGTTTGTAGAAAACCCTCTTTATATTTAATATTTTATGTATAGCCGGTGTAACTGGTACCAGATTTGGCACGCGTGGTGTTGGCAGCTTCAAATATTCTCGCATCGGAAATTAAATAATACCACGCGAGTAGGGCGTAAAAACGATTTCTATGGTTTCGATTCTGCGACGATGTGTAACGGTCCGGAGAGTACAACACAGCACAATAATATGCCAAACTGGATAGATAATATAATATTATAATCATTTTTGCAGCGCGCAACAACAGGTTTTCTTTCGCGTAATAGCGATGTTACCAAATATGAAATAATATCATAATTTATTATATTACGCTAAATTTTTGCATTAATCTGTGATGTGTTATGTTTTGTGTGCACACTTTTAGCGTGCGGAGTGCGGCCTTTAGTGAGGAAAAGCGGTCGGATCGTCGGCGGAACGGGTTCGACATTTGGCGAATGGCCATGGCAAGTGTTGGTAAGGGAAGCCACATGGTTAGGGCTTTTCACCAAGAACAAATGCGGTGGCGTGTTGATCACTCAACGACACGTCATAACCGCTGCTCACTGTCAACCCGGGTAAATATGATATCATATAATATTAATTTTTTAGGTATATATATTATCATTATTATTTATTTATTTCTCGCGAACAAGAACACAGGGCCCCACTGACAATGACTAAATGTTTTGGGATGGGAACTTGACCCTTAAATTTTGAACAAAATTTAGAACCTGAACTCTATTATTTTATTTTATTATTATTGTAAAAAAATCGAAACAGGTACTGTGGAATGCAGATTTCTGATACACTGGTAATATAGATTTTTTTTTGGTATAACAAGTATTCAAATTTAATTGTATTGTTTTTATATTTTTTCCCCCATAAATGTTAGTACAAATTGCAACGGCAAATATTCATTTGATTTTCCAAGAAAATATAACGGGCCTAAATGAACGATTTATTTTTTCATTATACGAAACACATACTTTGACAAAGATCCATTTTAATTTTACATAATATAGGTCCGTGCAGTGGGCGGAGGCTTTGCTTGACCGGCCCCTAATCCCATTCCAAAAATCTTGTAAACCTAATTGAAATTATTTCCAACACAGTTTTCAATATGTTCAGCTCGACGCTTATTTCATCGAATTTAAAACTTTAGTTTTGACCAACTTTTAGTCTGGATCTCTTAGTTGAATGTTTTATACTTGCTATTGCTCATCCTACATGCTACTGCTGTGTTGTTACGATTGACAATTATGGATACAATTGATTAAACTACTCGTATTTTAATTATAACAATAATAGTAATAATCATTACCATTATCATCATAGTCATCGTCATAATCATCATCATTATTATTATAATTGTTTAAAGTGTAACGTCGTGCAATTTATACGTTCTAACATACTTTTACTAGTTAACGTAATTATTTTTTTTTCCAGTCGCGTGTTGAGATACGCTCGTTCGCTTTGAAAGTTAACTCGAACTAGGTCAGCGCCGAGAGGCTCTTCGTGGAAAGAGGTCGCGCACGACGAGCTCGATTGTCTTATCGTAAAAATGGGTATTGTACCTAAATTGAAATCAATCGAACCCGACGTAAGAATTATGGCCGATGGGTGGACGCTATAATATACTTTACTCTCACATTACTTCCGTATCGACCTTGATTACTGATTTTACCCCTACTGCTCGGCATTGATAGTTAAGGGGGCTGCACCGTAGCATATTTTAAGGAGTACTATTTAGGCAATTCATGTGACATATAAATAAATCCTGTATCTGTGTGTGAGTAGTAAATGAACATTAGTGTGAGTAATCCGTTATCGTTTCCGAGAACCGCTGTACGTCGAGTCGGGCAACCGCGCCGGAAACAACTCTCACACGCACGTGTCAATACATCTCGAAAAATGAAATATAATCTTGTTTGCATGACTATAAAACTACTAAAAGTGGTAGTAAATTAATCATACTTCCCGAAGTTCGATTGTAATTTTCGAAAAAATGGTTGAATTTTTGTCACTTTTTTATTAAAAATCAGATGTGCCCAAAATAAATACAAATGTAATGCAATTATTTCATGGGATTCCTAAAAATAAAATGGTTATTTAAAGATCATTATAAATTGAAAATTGATTTCCTAAGAAACCTAGATATTTTATCAATGAATTCAAACATATATAAAAAAATTTAAACCGGACATTCCAAAGTATGTGTAATTTACCACCGATTATTGGTGTAAAACACTAAAACGTATGAAAAATACGTGGGTTGCAGCCCCCTCAATAAATAATACATTTAACTCAGAAAGCTTTAAAGTTATTACGAGGAAAACATAATTTAAAGTATAACTTTTCAAGTTGATTAATATTTTTTAAATACCTACCTCCTATGTCACACATAGGCGTAGTGATGGTACAACTTTCATTTTTTTTTCCTAGTACTTAATTATCCCATCATGATGAACAATGTACCTACAGTATTTAGGCAATTAATAAAATTATATATTATGTTTCAAAGTTTGTACCTACAAAATTAATACGTTTATACTTATTGGTTTTATTTTAATTTAACACCATTGCATATTATACCGGATGGTGAAACCTATATACAGCTAGATGAACCAAAAATATGCAATGTTTAAATTTTAACTACCGATATAGATACACATATTATAATTAAATATTATATTAAATATATATATAATATTATATATATATATATATATATTTTTATCACATATTATATTAAATACATGCGGCTTTAACTTGAAGTATAATTTTTTTAACTAACAAAAAAATTTCAAAGTTACCTGTTTTATTGATTGCTTAATATTAAGTCAATTATTAAATCAACTAACTGGCTAAGGTAAAAATGAAAAAAAAAAAATGTAATGTTTATTTGTAGGTAATATCCAAGGTTTTGTTAAAAATAAGACAAATAATAGTCAATATAGTTTGCAAAATGTATTTTGCACGATTCAGTATGATAGTATGAATCAAGAGAAATTTTTCTCTGTTAAATTTACCAATGATTATAAATTAAAATATGATTAATTAACATGCCATCTAATTTTAAGTGAGTTTATTTAGGACATAAAATATGAAAATTACAAATTAAAAAACTTAAATATATTTAAAGTAACATGTGAGATGACAAATTCATATTCTTATAAAAATTTAATTTAAACCTGTTGGTAAAGTTCGGAAATTAGTTGTTACTAGTTTTAGTGTGATTTTAAAGGTAAAAATACGTGTTAAAAGTTTAAAAGAGGATAATAATTTGTGGGGTAACTCTTTGAATAATTTATTTTACCAATATATTACAATCATTTATAATACATGTATAATAAAATAAATGAATCAATCAAGAAATTTCAAACAACTTGAAATATTGGTCTAAACGTAGGGAATAACCAAATATGATTCAATGGCATAAATTAAAATCCGTTATAGCTCAATGCGTCAACATGTTTATGTATCAAAAACCGTCTACATAATATTTTATATTAATTATGTGGTGGCTAGTCAGAATAAACCAACTCAAAAGGTCAACTATGTGTATTTATTAAAGATGTCACCGATATATTTTCTTTTCTATGTAAAACGGTATAGTAGATGCTAGAAACTGTTTTATAATGTCATGAGTCACAACAGGTAGGTCAGACTTTACATCGACTAAATCACACTAGATAAGGATTAAGGAACTCATGTCATTAAATGAATCTTGTTTCAAAATTTAATCAGTTGGCAAATTGACACGAATATGTAAATAATAATTTTTATGCCTTCGGTATTTGGGTATATTATACCTAGCTAAATAGTTTATGATTATTATAGGTACATCCACGGATGGACAAAATGAATCACTTCGTATACTTCAAATGTAAAATACAAAATACATAGAACTGGGTACAGAAAATACAAAACACCAAATATATTGAGTTTAATAGAAAAACACGAAATGCAAAATATGCATTTTAAAAATACGTATTATTACTTGGATATATATGCTTTAAAAAATAATTGTGTACCTACCTATATACCTATATTAATCATGATAATTTATAATTTCAAAAGTTAATTTAATTATGATATTAATCACGAATTTCAAAAAAATTTTCAGTTTTAAAAATATAAGTTTTTCAAATATTGTAACACTCATCCTTGCATAATTTGGACGTTGAATCATTTATGACATAAAGTGTTGAGTTGGAAACCACTATTTTATGCGAATGAACATAACTTCTCTACTATCGCTGATAAACACTTTGTATTATATTCATAGGCGCAAATAGGGGGGGGGGGCTTTAGGATTTTAGATTGTACGAAGAAATGCAAATCAGTAGATACGTGTTCGTTTATCACGGGGTTCGCATATCACGTTATTCGTTATTACTTATTTATTAACCTAGTATTTTATGCCAGTATTTTTAAAAATCTAGTTTTATTTCACAATAGTTTAAAAATGTCCAAAACATGCAATAGCTGTGTCCTCCGTCCATATCATATTAGGTACCTATACCTACCTATATTAAAATTTGTATACCCGTGTTTAAATTATTTTTATCATGTTTAATGTTTATATACCTACTTATTTTTTAGTTTTTTGTTACAAAAATTGTAATATTGTATTATGTCTTATGAATTTTTCAAAAATAATATAAAAATGTAGCTGCATATATTTAAGCATATTTTGAAAATTTCGACTGCATATTATTTCGATAATTTTTAGTGCAACAAGTCAAGTCCCGAACCCTAAATTTATTTATATACGAAAACTGTAAAAACTTGGTTTTAATCTATACTTAAACACACCCCCCCCCCCAATTTCATAATTCTTTCTACGGCACTGTATAAGTAGTATACTAGTAAATCTATAAATTTTCCGTGGTCATGGCGAAATTCAAAAATTGTACCACAGTATAAGTACTAATTATTCAATTGTTGCAACGATGTGCACGAAAACGGATTCACTGTCACCGTAATAATGACTTTTCGTCGTTTCCGGTTGTTCACAGATTTTTGGCGAACCTGGTGGCGGTTTTCGGCGAGTATGACATCAGTGGCGAGGTCGAGTCGAAGCGGAGCATCAGCAAGAACGTGAAACGCGTCATCGTCCATCGACAGTACGACGCGGCGACTTTCGAGAACGACATAGCCCTGCTGGAGCTCGAGTCGCCGGTCAGCTATGATCAGCACATAGTGCCAATTTGTATGCCGGACGACGAGGATGACTTCACGGGACGCATGGCCGTGGTCACAGGATGGGGACGGTTGAAATACGGTGAGCGAACGTTTTATCGAACACACTTGTTGTTGTCATCACCACTGAAAATAGAAAAAAAAACAGACTTTTTACCATTCGCACAAAAAGAATTTCACCCTTTCCCCTATCATATTCATATACAAATATATAATATAGTAAAGTACTTTAGAAAGCACTTAATATAGGTACTTTAATTTTCCAATGTTTGTAAATTAATATAATTCAATAACTTAATAAAACCACAAAAAGGTATAATGTACAATTATAGGTATGATATTAATTACATAAATATTTACTATAAGTGTTTATATTATAAAAGATGATTTCAAGTGATAGGCACATGCGTATACAATTTATGGATTAAGATATCAGTTGCCGTTTTTATCTTTGCGATTTTTTCATGTAATTTTTTCCCAATATTTTATTTGAATATGATAATAAATAAAAACGAAGACTGCAAAATTATTTAGCTCAAAGGGATTAAAATTTCACAGAACTGTATAATTTAATTTTGTGCAGCTTTATATGTGAAATACTGGAATTATTATATCTATATCTAAATTAATCAACTATCAAGTTAGAAATAGGCATATTCAAATGGAGAGTACCTAAAAAGACCTCTCTCACGTAACAGTTTTGCCTTAACGCATATTATGGATGTGCTTCGACTTTAGGCAAATAAAATACCTACCTTTCTATCAAAAATCAATCGATTTTGACGTCCGAGAACGAATCGCATATTATTAACAAGTATATAGGTACTTAGGTATATAATGTATTCGACGTGAAATGTTCGATTCGATTGTGAAACCAATTTTCGATTTATTTCAATAATAATATACGCTCCCGTCAATCGAAACCGCACTGCGCAGAACATCGGATTCACCACGACCAATAATCTTACATTTTTGCATAATATTATAATGAAACGTGTTCTACAATGTTTCGTAAATCGCTCGTTCATAAAGTATGAAAACCTAAAAAGCGTTTTTTGTCGATTTAAAATTAGGCAGACATCGTATAATATTGTATCAATAGTTCTTACTTCCTTCCTTTTAGCTCTGGACATTACCACAAACTACAAAGAGAGGGGGCAGTAACAACTAGGTCTTAAGTCTAGAATCCAGCCAGTATAATCAGCGCATGATTAAGTAGATTTTTTTTTTAAATTTAAATATGCTACTTGTAGTCTTAGGTATATTATTATCGTATACTTGTTTATAGGTAAGTATAAATATAGTATTTTTAATCATTATATTTCAACATAAATAACTAGCGAAAGTTAACTACCTATTTACCGGACTAAGTAATTGACTTGGGCGAGTGGTTAACACATAAATACTATTATACCCATAATAATCAATTTAAAGTTAGCTTCGAAAAACAAAAGTCCGGTTTCAAATATGTTGGTAAATTATTGGACATTATTAGAAAACTTTCAAAATGGGTTTGATTTAATTTTCATCTGAGGGCCAAGTTGAATTTTTGCACGTCAGAGTTTATGCTGCTAGAGGAACTGTATGTAGGGTTGTAGCTTGTAGGCAATTTGCAGTCTTGTAAGAAATACTTTTGAAAAATTACTAAGATACTAATACTAGTATTCGAATGAAAAATTATAAAAAATACTATTATAAAAATGTATTTTACAAAGTATTTGAATACAAATACAAGTATTTTTTTAAATTTTATGCTACCTATATAATATTATATAATTGTACATCAGTATAGGTACCAATTATGTTACTACTTACCATAGATTTTAACAATTACTATTAACATGTCTCAATGTCTGTCGTCTGGCTATTTAGAGATAAATACATGTCCACATATTTCATTCTGTATTTAGATATATTTCAACTAATATTGATTAAATTTTGACGAAAAAAAAAATAAAAAGTGGTATTAACTATTAATATGGAACTATTTTATAATTATTAGATTTTTCTTAAAAAATTCTAGTACAGAAACCATATACAATTTGACGTGGTATTTTTTTAAATTTTAAACATTGTTATTACCTACTTTTACCATACAAAAACATAATATTAGTTTTCAAAATATAAATATAATATTAAAGACTATAGTATTGTCATTGTAATATTATAATATGTATTTTCAAACAGGAGGTGGAGTTCCAAGCATCCTGCAAGAAGTGCAAGTTCCTATAATTGAAAACCAAGTGTGCCAGGACATGTTCGAGACAGCAGGACACACGAAGAGCATACTTAGCAGCTTCTTGTGCGCCGGTTACGCCAACGGACAGAGGGATTCTTGCGAGGTATGTTCATTCCGAATCGTTGTAATATTGTAGCAGATTTAGAACCTTTATCTAATATCGGAAATGAAAATTTCATGGTTTCTTTAAAATTGTATAAAAATGTGATTGTTTGATTGTAAATTGACACATGTGTTTTAATTTTACTCAAGAAAAATAGGCTAAAAATCACTTTCAACATATTATAATAATTAATAACTAATGGTTGCAAATAATACGTTGAAAATATATTTTTAAATATTACTCAAATACTTTTAAATCGTAAAAATACTTTGATTTAAAATTGTATAATATGCCTATTAGCCATTAGGTATAATATATATCGTAATATTGTTTTACATTATTATTTTTAAACGAGTCATTGTTCCACTTAAGTGACATGATTTGTTTGCAATGTTCATTTGTCATCTGTATACAAGTACTTACAATATATTATAATTAATGACTCTACGGAATTACATTTTTTCATTTCAACGTGCGGATGAAAACACATTATTCCAGTATCACGATAATTTTATGTTCAAATGAACTTTGAAATCACTGTTTCGAAATCGTTGTACAAAATTATACAATTTAATTGTTCGTACTTGATAGTAAAATGTCATACCTAGATATTTGAATACTTTTACGATAGCTTAGTCCAAACACTTTATAACCAATGAGTTGTTTGCACATGGTTGCATGAACCAGAATTAATATCCCTCATCATAATATTATTATAGACGCTGCTATAATATATGGTCATATATAACAAACTCAACCCTTATAATATAGCAATTTTACTATGCACACCATATTATATTATAACCCTTCCTAGTCTGATCTATTTCGGAGCTAATTTGTGTGTGTTTTCGTGTTTGATTTCGTCACAGGGTGACAGTGGCGGGCCTCTGATGATCGAAAAGGACAACGGTCGCTGGACCCTGATAGGCACAGTGTCACACGGCATCAAATGTGCCGCCCCTTATCTGCCGGGCGTCTACATGAGGACCACGTACTACAAGCCGTGGCTGCAGACCATCACGGGCGTACAGTAGACACATCGCCGCCGAATCGTCAACACTATTATTGTTATTGTTGTTTGTTGTTGTTTGTTTGTTGTTGTTGTTGTTGTTATGATTTTATGGTCGTACCGTTATATGGTAAAATATAATATTATGTAGAATACAATTTAGATTCCGGACCTCTCCTCATATGCGTCAACAGACCACATATCATCGCTCATCGTATTATATCTTACACCTAACAATAATATTAATGATCAATTAATATGAAGATTTATATCACCCACCGTGTGTGCACGCATTATACATTTAAATATTCAATGTTGGGCAATAGTTACCTTCCAAAAGTAGGTAAGGATCAGGTTACTCTGTACAGTAGGAAAAAAGTTACTCTATTTAGATAAGCAATGAAATATTACGCTAGACACTACCTATATCAATGAAAAGAAATGCGTTACTAAACGAGTTACACAATTTATACTTCTTTATATTTCATTTTGTTCTTAATTTGATATTTATAATAATAGATAATTTAAACTTAAAAACAAAGATATTTCGAATATTATATAACTAACAGTTATACGAATTAATACGAATTATCATCAGTGCTTAAATAGGTAGGTACGTACTATCAATTCCACGCATGACTCAGAATTACTTTTAAAGATTGATTCGATTACAATAATCAAGCATATTTTTCGTTTTCAGTTGTTACTAAATTACTGATCTATTACATAAAAAAATTATTTCTCTAAATCTGTTAAAAAGTAATTTAATTTCAACGTCACAACTCATAGCCGAATCTATAATTTAATTGTACATATATTATATATATTATGTATGTATGTATATGTATGAATGTATGTATATGTATGTGTATATGTATATGTATGTGTATGTATGTGTGTATTTATGTATGTATGTATGTATGTATGTATGTATGTATGTATGTATGTATGTATGTATGTATGTATGTATGTATGTATGTATGTATGTATGTATGTATGTATGTATGTATGTGTGTATGTATGTGTGTATGTATGTATGTATGTATGTATGTATGTATGTATGTATGTATGTAAGTATGTATGTATATATATGCATGTGTGTGTGTATGGGTGTGTAATGACTCATCCGGTGACCACATATTAAGATGTATGAATAAAGTGTGCAGCGAGTGTATAGGTACAGATGGAGGAACTTTTGTGAACATATTCGTCGGCCGTCGACCGCGAGGAATCAGGAGGAGAAAAGAAATTGTGCTGGGAGTGTGAGGGGAAACATATTGAAAATGAAAAATACCGACACTGCTAGTAACAATATTTTATATGTATCATAAATATGCGAGGTTGTAATATCATAACAGCTGACAAACGTCTCTATTTTACCCCTCCGACGATTTGTACTATTATTTTCATCGATTCGATTATTTTCGACGATTTCCCATTAGTGCATGACGTGATAATCATATCAAAGGCGAGTATAGGTACATTATACCCGTCGGAATAAAACATTATCATAGTAATCAGAATAAAATTTTCGCCATAATTTATCACTGTAAATTATTATTTATTTTTTTATTTATTTATACATATTTATTATTTATATATTTTTTTTTATGCAATTGTACATTTTATTTTCATGTTTGTAACGTTATACGATATATATATATATATTGTTTGAATCTTTCCTTTCTACTATATTTTTATATTTATAAGATTTATGTACATTACTGTTTTTATTTTTATTTTTCTTAATATTATAATAATTATTATTATTTTTGTACTATTTTATCATTTGGATACAAATAGGTAACTATACATTACTATTAATATGTGTTGCTTGAACGTGAACACAAAAATATACTATACATACTAGAGATAATGTTATTATATTATATACGCATAATAGCGCACGTACATTATAATATATTATAATAAGTTATTATGTCGTTAAACGGCTTTTTTTTAATACATAATATATGAACTTTTTTAATTAAACATTTAAAAAAACATAAAAGTTAATGGCGTTTTATTAATATTATAATAAGTATACTGTCATATTATGCTGCAGTGCTTGAATTAGAAAAAATATATACGTATATATTATATATACGCATAATAATAATACTGATTGAATATGTACAATAACAAATCATCGATGTATAATATAATATATGGTTTGTTTGTTCTCATGGTAACCAATTAAACGATTCACTATAGGTAATTCGGGATTGAAATTTCTAGAACGAATCATGGAAATCATTTATAAACAAAAACTTCTATCTGAAATCTCAAAATTCCTGTTTGAGCACCTCTAGGGGTTGGTCCTCTCCCTTTTTAAATTGACTATCTTTTAAGTTCGGCCAAATTACACACATTGTAAAAATGTCATCAAGATCGGTCCAGTAATTTTCGGAGTTTATCCCGGACAAAGGCGTGACAAGATATTTTTATATATATAAGATATAATTGGGATTATTTTAGTCCTGTTTATTTAAAAAAAATATTTTCACCCTTAGGTATACCACTCTCACGTTATCCATTTGGCCTAAATCAAAACAAAAAAAAAAAACCGACCGCCGTAATCACCTTGGTGACCTGGCCAGGTATGATATGATACTACTATTGTTACAAACAAACTTTGACTTGACTCATTTCGTTAGAATCTACGACTTTTTTTATAACAATTATCGTTTCTACCGTTTTTTGTTCTTCGAAATGGATGGTGAAAGCACCAACGATGTTATTGTGGTAGGGGAAGATGCGACAACTGAATTTTCGACGATCCCATTAATGATGGAATTCGAAGAACGTGAAACTGTGGAAACTGTGAATCCTGTCCCCGTGAACCAAGAACCGGTCGAAATGGAACAGGAACCGCAGCAGGAGCCGTTCGTGGAGTCGGCAGTGCCACCAGCGGTGAATACGGTTGCCACCACAGTTACTGCCATTCGGCTTGGTTCGGGAGCGGATGATAATCCGACCACGGCGGCCGGTGACGTCGAAGAAGAGAACATGGACAGGCGCGCGCGTAGTACTCGAAGCCGTGGCCGACGCAGCCGACGTGGCCGGAGCAGAAGCCGTCGCAGCAGACGCCGTCGTAGTCGTCGTGGCCGGAGCAGAAGCGACGACGGAGACTTCTATGTGCAAATCGCCGACGATGATATCTCCGCCGCGCCGGCCGGTAGCAGTCGCGGTAGCCAGAAGACGGCCCGTGGTGGTCGAAGGGCTAAGAATCTAGCAATCACCAGTCGCCGTGGTGGAAAGGCTACACAAAGCAGTCAAGCCAGAGATAATGCTATCCGTGGCACTCGCGGTGGCCGGAAGTCAGCCAGGGGCAGTCGCAGAGGCCGGAAGAACACCGAATGTGTTACAGCGCGCACGATGTGGAGCGAACGATTGCGTCCCATCAGCCTTAATCGGAACAAGAAATAGAAGGCAAAGTAAAAGGCCATATTATATTATATTATTATTGTGTCATACAATAATCATCCAATAAAATACACTTCATCTAACATAATATTCGTAATATTTTGTACAAAATAAAAAAGTGGGTTGCAAAATAGTTTTCCCCAAATATTCCTCCTTAGATCCTGTGATGACCAATATTATGTAAGTGAGTAAGTTGTATAAGTAAGTCCACACATATAATAGACCCTGATTTTTGAAGTCAAACCGAACATGAATCTAATTGTTTACTTTATTTTAGTATACCTATACAGTTTGTAGTTTTTGTTGGAATCGCTAGCACTCAGTATTATCGATAGGTGTTCTTCATAATAAAAAAAACAGCCAAAATGCTTAAGGTAGGCAAAGTGAAAATAATATAACCTTATAGTTATAATAATTTATCGTTTAATGGTTTATCTTCTTTTTTTTTTTTTATAGCTTTTCCTATAGTTTGTGTTAAATACTAAATTGTTTTTAAAATAATGATTATATTTCATCATATCGTATGTCTTATCTATATATACTTATATAAAATGAATGTTTGTGTGTGTGTGTCCTTTATGCGATCACCAAATTGCTAGGAAATTTCTTTATAGATATAGATTAGACCTCTGGGAAGAAGATAGGTTAAAGGAAAAATACCTCTAACCTAGAGGTCCAACATGGGGAGGTGCTCAAACAGGGATTTTGAGATTTACTTACGATGAACATTTTTGTTTGTAAACTGTTGCTATTGGTTTTAATAATTATTATTATTATTAAAGCAATAATAGCCTGTTGGTACAGTGACACTTCTATGTATTTTAGTACAGAATGTCTAAAGATCGAATCACGGGTTTAGTAGACCAATTGTTTGCATTGTTTTATTTCTTATTTTTACTTTTTCAATGATCTTCTTTATTTATACACACGCGAATGTTTGGTTTTTTTATTCATCCGATATTAGTACGATTGGGTTAGGTTAGGATTTTGTATTAATCAAATGTATAAACCACACGGGGTCTATTCGCATATTCATATCGCGACGCTCAGGATGGCTATACATTAAAATATAATATACACTTAAAAAGACATTGATTCCACAGAGTGTTTCATCTAAAAAAAAGTTGAACAATCACATTTCTTCCAGGAAATTCAGTCTAATTCAGCGAGTAGCATTTTAAAAGTTAATTTTAAAAAGTATTTGTAAAAATGCTAATATTGGTAACATAGTTGTATTTGCTTAAAATATATTCAAAATCCATTGCTAAAATATGTGTCCTACAGTAAATCAATTTATTTTACGAATACTAAACATTTTCAAATAAAAAACATGTATAGTACGTATATATAACTCTATTTATACATTTTCACTTAATTGTTCTTATGCTAAACATTTTAATATACACTTATGAGTATTATTATTGATCATTTTAGGTATTAGGTACAACAAGTTACAAATTACCTACTAAGTATGATTTATTCAGATGTCAGTATTCGAATACAAATTACATAATCGTATACAGTTCTGAAACAATATACTTAATAAAATAAATTACTTTAAATTATTTAATTACTAAGTAGATAGTATGGTATCCAAATGGTAAATACTCTATTATCTATATCTAAAGATTTATAAATTTATTTATTTATTTATTAATTTATTTATTTATTTGTAGACTTTTATATAAAATTGTAAGGGTTTTCTTCGACCGCGCTATCCGAGAAAACTACTAAACAGATTTGACTGAATTTTTTTACTGTTATACCTGAAAGTCTGCTGAAGGTTTAAGTACCACTTTTGATAATAAAAAATAAGTATTAAGTTCTTGAAAAATTAAGAAACAAAGATAATTTTCTTATTTATATATGTTCTTATTTTGTGACAACACTATTTAACATTTTTCCAATTTTTTTTTCACAAGGTTACACCAAATACTCTTACAAGTTATCTATTATTCACAATTTTATTTTATTGGTCATTTATATTACTTACGACTATTTTAGATAAATTAAACTCTACCTTATCTACCAGCTAAATGTTCCCATGATCATATAATTGACATAATAATATCAGCTTAGATAGTTGAATAGTTATTATTATAATATGTTATCCCAACTATCTTTTTTTCTTTTTTTCGTTATATATAATATTATATGAACCTATATTTTGTGCTTATATATTTAATCGTATTATTGCAATCTGTAAGATTACTTGTCATATTAACTATACTCAATTGTTGAATGTTAATCGTTGAGCTATAATAGTTATACTAATAGCTATAAATAATAAAAAAAAAAGCAAAAAACAAAAATTAAGTATATATATAAATCTTACGTATATCTATCTATAATATTTATAAATGTAATTACATTTTAAGAAATTAAATTATTTTCCATTGTTGTTTTTCCTATACATTCATTTCACATTATTATAATCATGTATATATCTCTTACATTTATTTATATATACAATTATTTAAATATTTGATTTTTTTAATGTAACCCAGTAGCAACGGGTAATTCAGCTTAACTGTTAATTTTTGAATTTATTTATTTAACTGTATTTAATATATACATTTACTATTTCGTTTTTTATACCGTAATCCGGCAACGACGACATTTAAATTAGTTAAATTAGTAAATTAAAACTTATGAATTCGATACTCAACACATTTTTATAGGTATTTAATAACGTTATTCATTAGCAATATGTATTTAAATTAATATTAATCGTGAATACGATCGTTAAGATCTGCCATAAAAATTTCCAAGGTGATCGTTAATAACAGTACCAGAAATATATTAATAGTACCCATCTACCGATCAATGTGGTCATCAACAGGGAAATTAGACCAAATACGACTATTAAACGCACGGCTTGCACACTCATCAGGTTGGTTTTAATTGTTGAAAACTAAAAATGATTGTCTTCAAATTAAATTCTAAAATATAATGTAGGTACAAACATAAATAACATTGGTTTTAGTTGAAAAAAAAAATGCAACAGTTCTTGGACAATGCAATAAAAAGCTAAGAACAGACACCCAACAAATCACATTTACCTAAAACATTTGAAGGATTCAATGTATCTGCTGATAGTGTAGACATTTAAATATTTCTATCACACGTATAATAGCATTATTCATTGAAATAAACGCTAATAAAATTATAAGTGTCTGCCTGTTTTTAACCATAAATTAAAGACTGTAAACTCTTATAGAACATACAATTTACACTGTTTTTAGTAACTTATCAGGCACCTAACCCATACAATTAATAACTATATTAGCTAAATTATATTTATGTAAATTTTAAATTTTGACCTCCTCAATGCTCCAGCGGTATTCACGTTTCCATCAAACACAAAATCAAAGCATTATTTCGACTACTTTTTGTGTACAAAGACTTAAAAATAAAAAAAAAATATAAAAAATTTAAAAAAAAAACACACATCATTGTAAAATCAATACATTCAACGTTCCACTCAGAATCTAAAATGTGTTGAGTATCAAATTTATAAGTTTTAAATTCTGTAATTACTAATTTAAATTTAACCAGCTGTAGTGAATTAGTTTGTGTCGTTTTCGTCATTGATAAAAGGTATGACTGTTCAATGTTCAATGTAAATACATAATAGATGGGTAATTAATAATTTTTTATTATACATATTTTGTTTAGTGTTTATATTTTCATATATTTAATAAAATACTGAAATTACTGAAATCGTTAAGTTTTTAATTTTTTGTCCAGATATCCATTTTGGTCCTAAACGTATGCAAAAAATATTTTAAGTATAAAATATATTATTATTCCAGAATGCAATCAATATGTTTTAATATAAAAATAATAAAATATATTTATATATTCTTTAACTACTCTCAATTTTAGTAATAGTTTAATTTTAATGTAAATACTTTGACTAAAGCAGTACTTTTAATTATAAAATAACAGATTTCATACTTTAACAGTAACATATACATGAAGTTTTAAGAACTGGATAGAAATCACAATCAACACCTTATTTACAAATCAAATTTCTTTTAAAAAGTATTTTGCTTCAGTTGAGGTATAAAAACATACATAGAGATTTAAAAATCAATAGTTGTAAAATTGATTAACATTAAACTAAAATACATATTAAAATTCAAAAAATAATTCAAATATAAACATTAAAATAAAGTGTAGGTAATTAGTTTTTCAAAAAATAGCTATTAGATTATTGTCTGTCATGATTTTTCTTTTTGGATTCATGTTCCAAGCTCTAGAATTCATTAAGCTCCCGTTCACGTATTACTCCTAAGAGTTGTAAGCCTAAAAGGACCTTATATAAAGGTGAGCTCACGAAAACGAGGGATTGTCGTAGTGTACAAAATTAATTAGTACTGCTCGATAATTAGTATCGTCCAATATCGTGAATTGGGTCCGTTGCGTGTATGGGCGCTACTCATATGGCTAATCCGTTTCTCAAAAAGTATTACATTTAACGCGTTAATACTAGATACAAATTATATACAATTCGATGTGACTTGATGACCGTTTTGTAAGGCTCGATGTCAGCAGGTGGTATACAGTATACATCCACCATCGCCAAGCGGGGGTTAAGTGTACACTACTGGTCTTTTCCTAGCAAAATAGTTCCGGAGACGATTGCTGTTGTAGTTGGTCCCGTGATACGAGTACAGTCTGCTAGTCGAATGGGGCTTGTCGGTGACGTCTACCACCCGGAAACCGGGTAGCAGGTCGAGGTCAGGTTTGACGGTCTTTGACGAGGCAGTGGCGGCTTCGGCGACAGGTTCGGGTGACGAGACCACACTGCTGCTGACGTCCGTCGATGAGGACGTGAATATTGACAGAAATTGATCGACCAGCGACTGTTCGTGTTTTACCTCAGTCTGCGTGGTATTGTTGTTTCCGTTGTGGTCGTTGCTGTTGCTGTTGTCACCATGGGGTGGTAGAGGGCTGGAAGGGTTCTGGGTGACTGGTGGACCCGTGTGATGGATGTACGTCATCGGCCAAGTTTGTGGCGGTCCGTCCGTTGAAGGGAAATACTTATCGCTACACGGTCGCCACTGATCTGTGGATTTTCCCACGTGACACCTATGTGCATAGAGGAAAAGTATGTTAAAATCCATCGCACTACTTAACTAAATGTTACTCTTTGTGTGATTATTTTTATTATTTTTATGTTCTTCAATCTGGGGTCTATTTACTTACCATGGATAACTGACCCCTTCGGAATAACCACATTTATGATCAGGCCGACAACAGTAATCCCAATCGCCTTGATCTACCGGACAAGACCATATGCCCATGTTGACGTTTTCAGTACAGTACGAACCAGGTCTGCATGGTTGTCCGTTGACAGTGAATCTCATCCATGTCCACTCCAATCCACCCGAGACTATTTATGGAATTAAAAATAAATTGTATTTAAAAGTTCAAAGATATGGAAGAATGTTTGTTTCTCACAGCCATTGTTCGGAGGGTATTTGGCTACGGGTGAACTGAAACAATGAACTTCGCTAAAATCCCATGTGTACAATAAGAATTGTTGGTCTAGACTGAAATGTTGGTTTGGTTTCAAATCTCTCATCTCGATGTCACTCAACTCGCAATAACCTCCACTATACAACAACGGAATAACGTGAAACACTAAATGTTATGTGATAACTGATAAATGCACATGCACCATTATTATATTATAACAACATAGTCTATTCACCATTTGGTGTTAAGACTAAGAAAATCTGTACCTACAAGTAGCTGAGTGTAGAACACCGAAAGTATTGGCTTTCCCTGGCCTTATTGCACTCCATCTTGCACTGGTATTCCGATTCGACGGTCATAGACTTTTTTATGGCTGACGGCAATAGTCTGGCAGTATTTCCAAAATTTATGTAACACACTGAAAAATAATAAAAACAAAACGTGAGTGATTATATTATTATGTCCGGGAATGTGGAGGATTAGAATCAGAATTTACAAAACACGTTTTTCACTTATTTTTTGCAATTATTATTTCCTATTTATATAATAAATGTATTAGTTTAACAAAACGTCTGTCTTACGCTTTTTTGCCGTCCCGTAGATTGTCGGTACTAGGGTGGGGTTCTGCCCATATGGATTGAACAAATCATTGTACACACCTCCCGGGACTCCAGGTAACCTGTTCGTTGGCCTGACCGACACAGGAGTGTATTCTCCTGGTATCTGGAAGAATGTGGTAGGTGGCATGGATGGCACGTAAGAACCCGTAGGTCTAGTGGGTGTGTTAAAGACAGTAGGAGTGACGGGGTAATATCCGGATGGCGGTGATAGAGTCGACGGTGGTGGGAAGTATTGAGGTGGTGGGAAGTACTGCGGCGGTGGTGATGGTGATGATTGTGGACCGACGGGGTAGTATTGCGGTGGTGGTGGTGGTGATGGTGATGAGTGAGGACCGACGGGGTAGTATTGAGGTGGTGATGGTGTTGGTGGTGGTGGCGATGGTGTTGGTGATGGTGACTCAGACGGTACTATGGGGAAGAATTGTAGTGGTGGCGACGATGGTGGACCGTACTTTGGTCCATATAACGACGGCGTCAGTGGAGGAGGCACACCGTACTGAGGCCGGTACGTGGTGAGCACAGTAGGCGTCAGATCCTGTCCCGGTACCAATGGCCACCCAGATTGCGGCAGAACCTTATCCAGTTCACACCCACGACCGTAGCTACCACGATTGTAAACGTCGCAACCGGAATCTTCAACGAAGTGTTTAACCGGATCCATGTCGAGTACCGGGTAATCAGTCAGGTAACAGTTGTCTGACCATTTACCGATGACGGGCGGCCCACGGCTGTGAGACACACATGGATTACATAATATACCTTATAAGTTGGTCACAAGGTTACAATTTACAATATATTAATATGTATGTGATGATCAGAGAAAGTTATTATAGGTAAGTGTTGTCACGTCGTAGCATATACATACCGGAAGCTGAATACCCGACAAGTGAAGTGTTTTACGTGAAGACAGATAAGTTCACACTCGTGCAAATTCTCCGTCTGCACCGAAAATTTCACTATCGACACTTCCAAGGTCAAACCACTCCGAATTCTTTCAAAACAATCTAAAATTCATATGTAAATATAAGTATCTATAGTTTAATTTATTTGTACGTGACATCTGAAACGGCTATGTCACAAGACCCAGAATCATATGCGGAAATTATCTCAATGAACCTAATATCAAACAAATAAGCGAAAAATTACCATAACAGCTTCATAGTTACAGCGTTAAAGTAAAGTATATTTTAAAATTTATTTATAATAATTGGTATACGTATTTTTAATTTGTGCTTTTAAATTGGAATTAAATTAGGAACCACTATTTTTACTCTATTGCAAGCCTCACGACGATAACATAGTGCTTTAATAAAATAGAAACTAGCCATACTATATGATCTAATTCTATGATTATTTTAAATAGGTAGCTTAAAAATAAATATAACATTTGTAAATATTGATTCAAACAGTAGGTATAATTAAATCCAGGGCTGCTTTTAGATATATACATACTTGTACCAACAAGCAAATTCTTTTCCGTTTTTCAGTTTTATATTGTTGTATATGAACTGAGTCCCAATAAAACCTTTTAGAGAGAATTAATTCAGTCGCTTTTGAAGATACTAACTAATTAGTAATTGAGGCCAGTACAATTTAAAATATAATGCTAATTGAGTCCATATTTTAATACTGACTGAGTACCATCAAACATTGAACAAAATATTTTCTTCCTCATTTTTACAAACTTAGGACTGTTTTAAAAAAAAGAGAATTTAGTTATGATTTTAAATTGTTTTATGTTAATTGGGTAATATATATAATATAATTTTATATATGTGTGTAATATATTGTATTAAAAGTTGTTTTTACGATATAGACATGCAGATTAACAAAAATCTGTGACTTATCCTCACCGGTGTCCCAATTTTTCGCAGGTTGACATCCTGGCTGACTGAGTTCATTTCGTGCAAAGACGTCGCAATCCCTGTCCGGGACTAAATCTTGGAAAATGTCCAATTGTCTGAGCATTTTATCGCCCAAATGACAATTGTCCATAGAGGACGTAAAACTATATCTGTTGGGGAAAAAAACGATCAACCTTATTGTTCAAAATTTCCGTTGATTCGTTTTATACCTCACCTGTAACTGAATATATTGCAAGTGAATGCCTGTTCATTAGCACACATGGTCTCACAGCCATAAAGAGACGGAGCGTTGGTTGATTTTATAATGTTTTCTTGCTGCAAATGGTGTCCCGTTCTAGCTTTGATGAAACACTCTGCGGAAAACGATTTACATACCATCAATTCGTTATTATACTATTTAAATTCATATTCAAAATAACACATAACACTAAATTAGTGACTTGAACTCAAATTGCCTATCCAAAACGCCGCGTTGCAAATAAGTTTATTTACGGGAGTGGGCGGGTGTGTTATATATTACCTTTTAGATGACATACTAACCGTTGATCGATGCCGGAAGTCGGTTCACCGTCGTTGCTGTCAACGTTGGTTGTATGTTATTGTACAGTAACCGGACGTCGTTGTTATACTGGTCGATCGGTCTGACCAGAGACACGCCGCCGCCACCGCCGCCTCCACCACCACCACTGAAAAGTTCCTGCACGCCTGGTTTCAACTGGTCATAGAAAACTCTGTCACCACCACCATACGCCACTTCGTTGCCTTGTTGCCACTGGGTACTGAGGTCTTGCCATAGGTCCTGTTCGTTTCCGGAACCACCCCACTTGCGCCTCTGGCCGTACGGATTGGCCAGCTCCGTGTACCGACAGCTAGGTGAAGCATTCACATTTTTCTCGAAATAATCATATTCCACGTCCGATTGGAAGTCCAGGGACAGGTCTAGCTTGTCAGAAGACACGGACGACAGTTGGCAACTGCTATAAGAGTCCAACTTCATGTCGTATCTATAGCAACAAAAAAAAAACAGAAAACACGTGGTAAATTTATATAAATCATGTCCATTTTAAATTGTATTATAATATAATATAATTATTTAATTATTTTAACGATGTCATAACGATCTTAATTTCGTAATGATATTTATTTATTTTTTGAAAGTATTCAAGTTGAATGACTTTTTTTTAAATATTATAATTAGTATATTAAACAAGTATAAAAGCTTAACCTTGAGCCATTTGTTAATTTTTCAATAACCATTTGCTTCTATGGCGTTCTTTCATCTTATTATATTAAAACATATAAGTATAACTGTACTTTTTTAACTACTGTACGTATATTGTTTAAAACTACAAAAATGTGTTTATTTTTCTGTGTAATTATTTAGTTATTATCAATACTCTCAATATTATTAATAATAAGAGGTATCTCAATGGAAATAACTTATTTCCTGAATTAAACTATATAAAAATCTTATATCCATGTTTATATTATTGATTTATTTTATCTATTTAATATCTTAGTAAATATTCAAAAATAACCAATAAGATTTAAAAGAATAATTTAAACAAGGATTAAAATAGTTATTCTTAAAATAAAATAATATACCTAAATAATAATAATAATACAAACCTGAAGTTAAATCCTTCGCAACGAAATTCTTTCTCGTATTCGCAATATATTTCACAATCTCCCTTTGAATCAGCTGGTAGAGTTCTTTGAATGTATTTATCGGTAAGACGGCGGCCTCCCACGAGTTTAATGAAACACGCTATTCAAAAATAATATAATATATGTTGTCGATGTAGTGAAGATTCAGCCGGAAGAACAATATTTTTAAAAGTACGTCAACAAATCCACAAATTACCAAAACATTTTTATTTTTTATTTTTTTTTTATAGATTTTTAGATTTTATTATTTTATCATTAAAAATATATTATGATCAACAGTTATTTTAATGAAATACAAACTTAGCTTAAAACTTCTAACATAACAATATTGTGTTTAGTACCTCTGGCATTGTATCTTTATTTACTACAGCTCTAAGCCTTTAATTAAACTTTTATCTGTGATTTTTGTATCACTAGAAACTAGTTGATAGAAAATCTGACATTCACTGACTTTTTGATCGAATTCTCTAAGAACTATCATTATCTAATTACTTATTATTGATGAACTTTAAATATTTCTATAAAATATAGAAAAATTATAATATTATTGTTCTCAAAAAACATCAATACTACGAGATTAATAGAGATGATTTTCTAATGTAATCAAGACGAGATAGTTTTATCGAATTTCTAGTGAAGTTTATTAGTGACCTAAAAGGTTATGCTGTTTAAAACATTATATACACAGTTATTAAGTGTCAATACACAATATTATTTAAACATTGAAATTTAACATTAATTTAACAAGCAATAACAATATTAAGTAAAAATATAATAAAAAGCTTATCTAAAAATAATTTCAAACGCGTATTGATATTTCTAACAAACATTAATTTTATATTATTATATTAGAGGCTATAGCACTGCCTACTGTATCGATAGCTAACCTAATGATGCATTTCCCGCACATGACAGCAGTCTGAGGGTGATAACACGTCCACGCTTGTCACTTACGTAAAACGTTAAATTCGTTATTTCGCACGAGACACAGTATATATAACACACATTACAGCAGCCAGTAATCAGCAGAACCATATTATTGTTCTAGTGTCGAAAAATATGCATACAATAATATGATTTGCAATATACAGCCAGTGAATTGTAAATGTTAGTGAAATGTCGAATAAATGAATAATACGTTTTTGTTTTTATATAAGCCCCTATTATTATTTTCGCATTTTCATATCGTGAGCAAAATATTATTATCGTATTTCACAACTTAGATACTACAACGTGATCAGTTATCGCCATACATATTATATTGTTGTTATAGAGATGGTAATTGAGATGTCTATTGATACACGGATAAAAAACATTTGTATGTTGATACCTCCTTCATAAATCGATAAATAATATAATTTTAAAAAAAAATGGATTTGTTAATATTTTTATATTATTGACTATTGTAATCATTACAAAGTTTCTTTTTTTGTTTTAGTACCTAGTAGGTATATGAAAATATAAAACACATTATAACATATTATGCACAATATATTTCAATATTTAAATGTGTAATTAATTATTAATAATACACTCATTAATATTTAACTTAGTCACGTCCTATATTTCTTCTTTTATAATTGAAATTGAACTCTACCTCCATAACTTATCAAATAAATAAATAAATAAATATTGTATAAGTACATACTAAGTTTTATAGTCAGAAATGTTAAAACTGTGATCATATTACCATAATAATATTCACTTATAGGCACTCAAAAAAATAAAAATCGAAATAATAAATAGTTTTTAATACTTGATACTAGACCCACCCAACTCTAAGTGTTGAGCTGAAATCGAGGAATCGAATAATTATCACTCATAATGTTTGTTTAATTTAAACGATGACCATTGCAGAAGTTCCAAGCAGAGATTAGGTTATAGTTACATATAACTGTTCACTTATTCTAAGTAGTGATGTGTTGTTATCTAGATAATATACAGATAATTTATCATACCTACTTATTAAAAATTATTTTTTAATTTATTTAAAATGAGTAGGTAATGACTATATTTCACACATCTAGTTTTAGATACTTATACCTATTAGTTAAGGGCACTTGCCTATGAAAATTCTTTAGAATCAGAAATTTGCTGGTTAAGTTATAACAAAATTAATGTTAGTATAAGTTTGTTGTATAAATATTTTTTTTAAATTAGTGGAAACCAAATAAACTACAGACTAATCTTCACAGGATTTAGTATATACCATAAAAATATACTTGAGTCTTATTTTATATTTTTAAATCGTAAGTCACAATATCTATGATTTGTATTCGTACAAACTTGTCCACCTAGTGATGTATTATAGATTTGTAAAGCGATTCAATTAGAATAGCACGTTGACACCGGTACTTGATATTCAGGTATAATATCGTCACAATTCAAAACACAATTATATTATTTAAACTTCAAAATGTCAACAAAATAACTTTTATAAGTATTTAATATTATTATTTTAGGGTCACTCACTCGATTTTAAATTGTGTAATTGTGTGTACACATAATAATGTATATTATTATAATATTATTTAATGACCACGTCATTGTCAATTGTCAACACTTAATTAATAATACAATATTTTTTTTTTTAAGTCGATTTATGTAGATTGATACATACTATTATGTTACTCACTTGTTCTATCTCTACATTGCAATATTTTCATGAAAAGATCGTACTCCGGATCATCGTACGGTCCCGATTTTGGCAGATCTAAACCAAGTAAACAAGTACCATTTCCATTTCCGTTTAATCTGAAAGATAAAAAACCAACACATTAGGTACATACTAGGTAACGTTTATTGTTCTCATATTTAGTTCATATAACTTTTCGGGAGTTTCCCAACATCCCAGGTACGTCCCGAATTGATCCTTATTTAATGTTCCGATTACGTCCCGAGAAAAAAAGTCATATTTTTGACGTAGCCAGAGTATATCCCGGTTCATTTAGAGTTAACCAGGGTACACCACGAGGAGGTGAACTAGATTTATACCTCAAAACTTTACTACCTTAAAACCTACTATTATTTATTTTATTATTTTAGATTACATCCATTTTTAAAAGATTGGGTGAGTGTATTAATTTTTATAATAATTGTTTACATTTTATAAATCATAGTCGATCGTCCGACTAATAATCCTATTAGTTTGTCTTAACTGTAGGTACAGCTGTGGACTGAAGACGCACTTGGACTAATCAGTTTAATTTGTTAATAAAATTGAAGACGCACTAGGGATGTCACCAATTATTCGGGTAAAAAAAAAATGATACGATATTATTTTAAACTGACCACTTAAACTCACCCATAACTGTATGTGTTGCACAACATTCGTTCGCATTCGTTACTGCATTGTTTCATATTTGTGGTAGATATTGTTTTTGTTACATCTGAACTATTCAAACGTTTTCCAATGGCCACTCTTTCAAAACAATCTGTTTGCAAATAAAACCAATTTAATTATTATGATATTATTTTTAATATAAAATGAAATATTATCGTACACCAATAGTGTTGGAGTACAGGTGTATAACACTTTTATCTGCTACACGTTTAATTATATAAATATTATAAATTATAATACTTGTTGCAGGGTTGGTGCTTTATAGTTTTGTAATTTAACCACCTATTCTACATTGATTTACTGCATGTTTAATGTTATTAGTTTATACCATCAGATCAGACTATTTTGTATTACACATTTATACTATTCAGTTATTGGAGAAAAAAATATACAATATAATATTTATATCTATAATATCTGAGTGCACCTAATACATTTAGATTATTATCATTATTTCGGAAAAAATATTATAATGTGTAACAATGATTTATTATAAGGATATAATATATGAGTAGTATAGTATAGTATATACTATATATTATATTATATATACTATAAAAATGGAAATTAAAATACATATATATTTTCTTAAAACTATCGTACATTTAAACTAATATTAAATGTAATTATTATAACATTACACACTTCATAATATGTCATCACCTGTATAGACTAAAAAATATGCTATTTCCATACACGAACAACATCGTGGCTGTTATTTTGTTCGTAACAGTTCATTCTTATTTTCTATATTATGATTTAGTAATATTGATAACTTGATATTTTATTAAGACGTCGATGATGCATAACAGCTAAACATCAAAACGTAAGTATAATTTAACGTCATTATAATTGGGAAACGCAGCCATATAGTTGGTAGCCGCGACTCGGGCTTTCAACGACATATGCTTAATACAATATAATATTATACCTACCTAGGCTGATAACAAACAAAATAATATGAGCATAGGATGCGCATGGCCGCATGGGTAACTATATTATAGGTATATGACCGCATTGCGCAATGGTGAGCGCTCGGATTACGCGGCACGTTAAAGTCTCCACACATCACACGCGGTTCATGAATAACTATGAATAGGTATTATATCAGCGTGTTAATACCTAACTCCATCTGATGGAATGTATCCGGGAACGATGGCGCTTTTCACTCACAATTAAACGATTAAATTTGTCATACCTACAAGGCTGCTGTGCCTAATTTTTTTTTCTTGAAGTTTTTTGGCCGTGATATGGTTGCGTACACATATTATACGTATTATATAGGTAGGTAGAGGTATAGGACTTCCGCGTGTACGAGGAAATGTTTCCGAAACGACCGGCGTGTTTGTCACCACATATCGTATAGGTAATAATAAAATATTATATGGAATAGATAGGTACTAATAACGTTTTGAATAGATTTTTCTTTATAAGATCGAGATTTTTGATGACAAACGAGGATTATGGACAGCACGGTTTTTTTAGGATACGATTCAAAGAAATGTAATTTTATTAATAATAATATGTTGAGTGCGAGATGTAGGTAAATAATGAAATTATTATAAAAATCGTGGCTCTCTAATATTATGTTAACGCATAATATAACTTCTAATTTTCCAAAATCATAATATTTAAAAGGTGAGACAGTCCGTATATACCTTATCCGGTGACACATTATTTCCTTGCATAGTTATAAATCCGAGTAAACGGGAAAACGGGAAAACCCTGTAAGCAGTAGTCCTTATGTTTTCTCATTCTATATCTATATATTGTATATATATCCATATTATATTCCTATTTAATGTCATAAGTACATAGCTGAACAAGTGAGTACCTATAATACTTATATTTATTATAATTATTATATTATAGGTACTTTTGTGCATAGAATGTAATCCGCATAAATGCATGTTTCCCTAGCGTATATAAAATCTGGAATATACATAATTATATTATATAATAAATATTGTAATAATGAATTCAAATAAAAGTTAGAATTTTAATAAAAATACGTTTCGCGAAAAGAATACCCAAACGTAATATATGATCAACAACAATGAATTGGTATTAAACCGTGAAATCGCATATACTGCAGCATAATAGCTACTATTGTTTGTAATTCAGATTTTTCTCATTCTTTCTATCACGATCTAGATTTTTTTTGGATACTCGTATATTAAACATGTATCTATACTTTGGTTTATTTCAAACTTTCAAAAAATAAATAATTCTATGTTTTTGTGATTATACACTATAGATGGCCATTAAACAATTTATTTAATTATTTAAGTTATGTTATTCATTTTCATCAGTTATATTAAAAAAAAGATTTTAAGTAAGTTTCAAAGTACATATATGCAAAAGTCTTAAGTAGTTTACGGATGGGTATAAACATTAAACGATGACAAGCATAATGAGACACACGCAGTGTATAATATAATATTATACCTTTATATTATAAAATACACGGTTTGTTAAATTAATTGGCTATACTTATTTATTTATGATCAATACCTACTGCTGTACTTGAGCCCGTATGGACCTTTACCCAAATAAATAAATACCTACAACTTAAGCTCATATTTTTATTTCTAACTTTTTGAATATAGGTAGTACCTAATACCTATAATAAATAAATAAAAGCCATAAGGAAATAAATTATAGTCTTTAAGAGAGCGCTACATCCGCATGTATTGTCTCCCTCTAACAAATGTAAAACATTGCAAAACTGTGTTGCGCGGGTAAGAACCACTCAAGTTGTAGCCCAAGCTAAGGAACCAAATGTTCACATATTATAAAGAGGAGAACATTTACTGTGCAACTTCGTTTTTATTTTTTCGATATCAGAACTAAAAAAAAAGACTATTCTAGTTTGAAAATGCATTATTTTTTAGTATTCGGGTGTAGGGTACCTCTCAACACAATTAACCCTAATATACTATATATACATATACCTACTTTATTTTTACTATTACTGATTAGGTACTATATGCGTCTAATGTCTATATAGGTACTGAAGTATCATTATTTGCACAAAATATTTTATTATTCAATATTGTTTTAGTTTTCTGTGCAGTGTGTACTATAACAAAAACTAGGGACTAAAGAAATTTCTCACAAGACTCTCAGAAATTTTAATCCATATTTCCGGTGGAATAAATGGAGGTCGTCGCTTTGGAAAAGGGTAACAACATTTGTTTGTCTCACGGGCACCGGTCATGTAGATCGATCCTCAAAATCGTTGTACCATCGAATTTATAAATAATAATTCAACCAATAATCGAGAAAGGTAATTGTCGTACTTACTATACAAACTAGTAACTACAAATAAGAAGGCTTGTCTATAAGTATAACTAATTGATTGTGAAAGTTTCAAATTAACACTAATTACTATTGACGGGTAGGTAGGTACTAGTATCATCCTGATAATTTATTTAAGATATTTTGAATAATTAATATAAAATGAATAATGTTATAGCATAAGTATAATATACACAGTCATTTGTACAATCAGTTATTCGATTACGACGCATACAGTTTCATTTTTGGAATATTATTAAAATAAAATGTACATAATAAAGTTGATAAGTACCTATCTAATTATATATAATCGAGTGTTCATATCATAGTATTATAATGAGTTAAAGAGCTTATTAACAGTTTTGGTTTTCAAATTTTTCATGGGATTAAATAATTTTGAAAACCAAAACAAATTTTCACGGTTATACCTATTACTTACGCATTTTTACTGATTTGTAGGGATATAATATTTAGAATTAATAGGAACAAATATACCTACTTCAGAACTATATGCTTTTAAATCATCTAAATTCCTGTATTTGGACAGCCAACTCACCCGCATACGTTTATATTGAAGGTGTATAATAATTAATATTGTTAGTAGACAATTATTTTATTTTATTATTGATATACCTACACATGCACGTTGGGAAACTATTTTTTTACAATTATTCATGGAAATAATGTCGTACCGATATAGGCACACAGTCTGTGTTTCGGAGGTATGGGTTTTGGAGTTTCTCATAGCACGTAAACGACGCGATTAAATCGATTGCTAAAATTCGACCTTCAGGCATTAAAACTAAATTAGGTACGTACCTATCACATCCAATGGCACGCAACGATTATCAACACATTTTATCAAAACATTATGTTATGGCTCAATCAATTCCATTTTTTTTTCTAAATTCAAATGTACATATATTTGGGGAGTTGGATACAAAAAAAATAAATATGATATCGCAATAAAATTAATTTTAATTTTTGAAATAATTATTAACCAATATGATGTGATGTAGGTATAAGTATATACGACCTCAAGTTTCACATTGACTGTAGGTACACACTGCTGATGTAGATTAAGAAAATATATCTAGTTTAAGTATAAAAGTATTTTAAGTAAGGTCCTCCGAGCCCCTCAAAAACAGTATTTTCAATATTATAATATTACCGATTTCAAACATAAAATTTGTAGTTTATGTACATTAACAGTTTGTGTACATTTATGTTATCCAACAAACGTACTTTAATATATGCAATTATACGCTGTTTGAGAAAAAAATGGATTTAATAAATAAAAAAAAGCTAAATAGGTAAAAAGGTAGAAAATTAGTGCATGTCCGTGAATTTAAGTACATTCATTATAATATCTATGTAAAAGTAGTTTTCAATTTCAATTTTATATTGGTAGGTATAATTCATAAATAAATATTAATTTATAAAAATCAAATTTTGTTTCCTCAATAATATTTTATACATTTAAGTCTTAGTAGGTAGGTATATTATCATTGGAGTATATAAATCATTTCAGAATGTGATTATTAGTGAACATCCATTCAGCATTATATCAGTGTCATATCGTCATTATATAATCTGTGTGGCATTGTGAATATTCTATACTTCTAGAGAAAAAAAAATTGATAAAATCTACAGCCGAAGCTTGAAATAAATTTTTTTTTGTTTTGATTTTCTTAACAACTTACAGTAAAAAACTAGTTAGATCACATTTATATAATATATAGGAAATTACAAACAAATAATAATTGAGGTGCTAATTGGTAATTTATTAATTTAGATTGTTCCATATAAAATATTTTACATATAATAAGAATTATATGTTATAAGTACTTCTGATTTTCACATTATAGATTTTTTTATTTTACCTGAATGTATTCCTAAGTTTTGGACTCACAAAATATTGATCTCAATTACGTAATTAACTAGATACCAGTTTAGTTACTCATTGCTTTCGAGATGCTCCAATTAATTACGAATTAAGTTAGGTACTATTAAGTACTCACTAAACATCACATAAAGTTCTTAAATAAGTGTTAATTCGTTGTATTTTAACTAACTTCATTATTATATTGTATAATGGTATATTGTATAATGTATATTATCATGGTTATATTATTTAGTATCTACTGGATTATATACGAAATATAAATAAATAAATAAACATTTCTAGATAATTCATTTTGCCGGTAACGTGTGTAATTTATAAAATAATAAAATAGTTATTATAAGTTAAAACATGTAGTAGCTATGTCCTGTATATTATATCGCTGACTGCATACCATAAAAATTAAAAAGTTCAGAATAATTATTTACTGTCAAAAATAGTTTTATTCCGTACGGTTAATATAAAAAAAGGTGGACAAGTGGGTGTCACTCTGATGTACAGTAGGCTACAAGTGGGTCACTGTATAATGGATGATATTAAATTTGAATTCAACGATATAATATCATTGTATAAGAAAAACGATTCTGAGCGGAGACGGTATGTCAGTCTAGGTATAAGACATATTATATACTTATCTATGGTATTAAATTATATGGAATTTATGAATAAATTATTCATTGCCCCTTATAACATGCACAGTATTATCATTGAGCATACTTCTTATTCCTTATACTATGGTAGATTGTATGGATAGGCCATAATATTTTGATTTTTCAGTTTCATATATCCCCGAATAATTTTTTTAAATTACAACAAAAAACCCAAGATCGTTAATATTGATTTTAATATGTAATTTTGTCCAAATATGAATTTAAAATGTCTGTAAAAAATAACTGTGCTCATATATTTTTTAGATTTTTTGGCTACAGTATGAACTATTTATGAGAATCTTTTTTTTAAATTTTCAATCCTTGGCTATAAAAACTGAACATTTTATAATTTATTAATTACGACGGTTGATAATTTTCGAGATTTTGATCAATTTTGTAAAAATGCGATCTTTAAATGCTTATAAAAAAAAATTGTGTATTTTGCCTATGTATTTTTAATATTTTTCAATTTCTATTGTAACAATATATCAGGAGCCTTGTATTAATTTTTACACTTTTTGGCCCAACAGATAAAACTTTATTGATATTTATAGAAAAAAAAAACTAAAAAAATTGAAAACTGAAAATGTCCGTAAATAGCTCAAAAAGAGTCAAAATATTTTCAAAATTGTATGGTGTATAGGAAATGATAATTTAAACATTCAGTGAAATTTTCATGTATCTACAGTTATTCGTTTTTGAATTACAACAAAATAAGGAAATCGCTACATAAGAAATCGAGTGAATATCCAATGTTGTAAAAATTTGAATTTCAAACGCTCATAGAAATTTAATTTGACTTTCTTATAAACATTTTTTTTTTTGATAAAGGTAGATAATCTTATAAGGAATCTTGTATTACATTTTCAAATCTTAGATTTAAAAAGAAAAATTTTTACGAATTCTTAACTCAAAATAATTTGCATATTTTCGTGATTTTTCCATATTTTGTCAATTTTGAACTTTAAATGCTTATAAAAAAAAACTGTGACTAAGGATTTTAAATATTTTTCATCTGCCTTTGAAACAATATACTAGGAGCCTTCTATTAAATTTTCAAGTTTTTTTAACCAACAAATAAAATTTTATTGATATTTCTAGAAAAAAAACTAAAAAAAAATGAAAACTGAAAATGTCCCTAAACAGTTCAAAATAAATCAAAATATTTTGAAAATTTTATCGTGTATAGAAAATGCAAATATAAACAACCACTGAAAATGTCATGTATCTACGGTCATTTGTTTTAAAGTTACACCAAAAATCAAATTCAATTTTCTGAAAAATCAATTTTGAGGTAAAAATTCCCGTTTTTCCTTAATTTTTCCTTTGTTTTTCCCGGCGCTTTTGAAAACTACTGTGAAATTTAAATTTTGACCTCCTCAATGCACCAACGATATTCACTTTCCAATCGAACAAGATACTGAAGTTGAAAATCGAAGCATTATTTCAACTACTTATCGTGTACACAGACACAAAAAAAATAAATATAAAAAAAAAAATATCATTGTAAAATCAATACATTCATCGTTCCACTCAGAATCTAAAATTCTTCTAATGAAATATAATAACCAGGTAATCAAAAACGGTGATTACAAATTAGTGAGCTAAAAGCGTTCTGAATAGGTAATACCTTTTATAGGTTTATTGTGTTAGAACTTTTATGTATCGAATAGTTTTGATAGATAGAATAAATAATTTTCTTTAATATTTTGAATTAACTTCAGCTGTAACAATATCTATGCACGGTTAAGTCATCATTTATATGACGATTTCCGACACGTTTGTTGCGATGACATTCAAAGTCACCACATTATGGTATATAAATAGTAAAGTTTCGCGAAATGAGTAAGAAATAAGAATAATACAGACCGTTGATGCCCTGCAGGTTGAGAAAAGAGCCGGTGTTGGTGACTGTGAACACGTGGAACAATGACACGACATAGGCGCCGAACGTACGCATCTCGAGGCCCGGCAAAAACGTAACGACGATAGGAAAACGAACCGGAAGTGGACGTGAAAGACGCAGTATAATATTATTACGATGTACGAAAAAAAAAAAGGTCCAAAGGCAATCACGACTACAGCGACGAATAAGGACTCGATATTTTTGTTATTAAATATTGATTATAATATTTAAATATTACAATAGCATAATTATTGATCGGGTCCCGATCATCGCACACACATAGTATGGCTCTCGCGAGTACCTATTCGCTCGAAATATTGCGCACTTGTGTTTGTATGTTAATAGGAAAATGTATGCGCCACGTCTTGTCGTATTGACGTGTCGCGTGCTAAAGACGTGTGCTACAGACTTATCGGCCGGGCGCGATATACACTACACGACGGTATAATATAGTTTAGAGCTGTCAGGATATAAAATGTCGTTATTTGGCCAAATACCCATAATAATTAACGCGCGTATGACGATAAAAGTAATAATAATATAATCTACCACTGCCACTGTGCCAATACACCACGGTATACATTATAATATGCACCACTACCTAGCACTCTGCTGTAGGTTATGCCTGTACCGCCACCGAGAAACCACCCGACCATTTATAATTCGGCATATCACAAATCGTTGTCGCTCATGGCGTGAAATCGAGCTCGCACACACGCGCACATTGTCTTGGGCAGCAGCAATCAAAAAAAAAAAAAAATCGATGAAAAAATCGCTCGAACGAGTGCCGCCGCCGCCGTCGAGGACAGACAGATTGGCGGCAAAACCTCGTGCATTTTTAGTCAAAACGTGTAGTTGTATCTACCTATTATCCCGAAAAAATATCTAACCACTACCTAGGTTTCAACGTATTTAGATAACCTAGGATGACGACCAGTAATTAGTTACACGTGTGTCAAATAATTACGTAAATGGGTTACATCATTGTACTCGTTTGTATATTATATTCTGTCACTGTCACTTTTCAACGAAAGTATCATAATAGTATGACATTACATTTAAATGTTAATTATCTCCATGATTTCTCCATGATTCCACGATTTCCATGAATATATTACAATGTACAGGTTTGATTCGATTGCCTTTATGTAGGTACCTTTAATAGGGTAGGTACCTACTATTGCTTGATATTATTATTTTTTAATTCAGGAATTATTAAGAACAATTTACGCAGACTTGCTATTACTTCTGTTTGTATACCAATCGACTGTACTTATTAAAATAATAAAACCTAGAGAATAATATGTTGGTTACGCCCTTTCAGAAAAACACCGTCGAATTATACAATATTGTTTATGAAATTACATACCTACCTACAATTAGTATATTTTTGAACTATTTTTTAAAAAATATGTAACTTTTCTGATAGGATCACTCCTATACAAAAAGTAAATTAGTTACCTACATCTAAAATAGTGTTTAAGAAAACGTTATAATTGAGTAACATGTATTTTTCAGCAAAAAAAAACTGTGAAAAGAGTAGGTAATCACTGTTCTCCCGTTTCCATAAATGTGTTTTAACTTTTTTTGAAATAAATATTGCCGTATTGGTCAATACTAAGCAAATTTTGAGAGGCAAATTTGAAATTTCCCATATTCCGAACTTACATTTTTAGTTTTTACATTAACTTCCCGTGTTAACTCATTATTACTTCTACAGTTTTACTTTCATAATACTATTATTATATTCAAGAATATCAGGGAAAATATGGATATTTATACAATATATCAGATATTGTAAATACCTATGTATAAAATTATTGCTGATAATATTTTATAAAAATGAAATCATAACATACGCGTTTCCAGCTAACAGCTATAGGCAGCAGGTTAGATATTGCAATATTTAAATCAGTTATCAATGTACGGCGAACCTATGTTAATGCGCACGACGTCTAGCTATTTAATGGTAGATTGAACGTTTTGCAACGTTTTAGTTCTGGTAAAAAAAAAAAAAAGAGTGTATAGAAGGACGAAATGCCTATCGTGTATATATATGTACGAGGACTCCGTAGAAGGTGAAGGTCTCCAGAAAAGTGAAATCTATATAGGTATAAATATTTATATTATATTATTGTATATACTAATAAAATATTATATTATGTAGATATAGTGTTTGATCTAATTGTGTTGGGTTGTTACAGTATAGCATCATCATTATTAATTTGTGTTTTGTAGATATACCCACTGTATTACTGTAATGAAAAAAAAAAATTTTAAATCAATATATATCTACATCTCTTGAGTTTGAGACCACATAGAATTGTCAAATTTGAATTCAATAGTATTAAATCATTGTATACCAAAAACGATTCTAAATGAAATTATCATTATTAGAGTATATAATTTTTCCCATGTTTGAACTTAAATGATAAATATTAATAATACTGTTTTTATAGTTTTTAGATTTGTTGGTTACAGTATGAACTACTTATGAGTGATGAGACACCTTGTTTTAAATTTTAAATCTTTCATCATAAAAATTGAATAAATAATTTTATGTTTTTGACTGCAAAATAATTTGGTAACTTTTGAGATTTCTATGAATTTTGTAAAAATTATAACTTTTAATGCTTATTAAAAAACGTACTTGTGTATTATACAATTTTTTTGAACTGATTTTATAATACCTTATAACTAAATTTGTATTGAATTTTCAATTTTTGGTCCATTAAACATTTTTATTGACATTTATCGAAAAAAATATAGTTAGGTACACTTATCGTGTATACAAAAAAACACACATACATCATTGTAAAATCAATACATTTATAGCTACACTTAGAATCTAAAATTATAAAATAAGTTGTACATTACATCATAAATATAAAAATCAACCAAACAAACAAATGTTGAGTACGAAATACATTCAATAATAATCTTATTATTAAGTTTAGCAGAAAATGTACACACATTATTTTGTATTTTGCTAAAGGGTTTTAAAATTCATTTGATATATATAAATAAATAAATAATATCAAAATAAACTTCAATAAATTGATGTGAATGTATAATTAATGTTTCGTTTTAAGTAGTGTTAAATTTTATTGACTCACATTGCAAAATGGTATACCGACCTAAATACTTAAGTTTATTTAAGCATAATATTAATTTAACTATAAGTTTTTTTTGGAAATAAATATTAGATTATTTTAAATAGTTTAAGTACAAACACTAAGGTTACATTTTAAGTACAAATGTGGGTAAGAAATATACAAGTTATTATATTAAAAACTGGCTTCAAATAATTTACACACATTTTAAAATGCTCACTTAAACTCTGAACTCGTTAGCGCATAGAGTTGTATATATTTTAACCACTCAATCGCGCACTAAATACCTTCTTATTACAGAATTAATAATTTGTTATCGATGTGCTTGTACCTAATGTATAAAGCTAATGGTCCCCGTCGCCGAAGCTGAAGATCAATTAAATATATATTTATATATTAGGTATTATGTCATTTTGTTCAAAATGATTTATTCCTATATTATTCATATACGTATCACATAGGTAAATTTATATACAAATTATTTTTTTACAGTTTTGTTTTTTATTTTATGAAATAAGTATTTTGGTTTAAGAGACACCGACATTTGTTGTCTCCGTAACATAGCAAATTGTACGTTCAGATGAACACTTATCGCTCCATTAGCTTAAAAATTAGAGTGAATTAACTTCTTTATAAAATGTAATGGTAATATTATTATCTAGGCAGTCTTATCGGCTTCTTATAATATTTTAATTTGAAAGCGAGTTATGAGTATTTTAAGATGTACAAACAATTTACAATTTACAATTTTAAATTACTCTTAACTTGCTCTAAAATTAAAATATAATAAAAATCCCGTGAAGTTGCCTAAATAATAATCTTACCTTTAAATTGTATTAGAGGTCAATTAACTCTAATTTTTAAACTAACGGAGCTAAACTTGTTCTGTTGAGCTCACAATTTGCTATGTTAGGCACTTGTAAGACGGAGACAACAAATGTCGGTATAAGGTCCTCTTAAGATATTACTATTTTTATTTTTTATTTTTTTATTGGTCTAGAGCCCGGCAACTATGGCCATTAGTTATTGAGGGGTAACGGCTGAAACGGTACACTTAGGACATTGGGTGTTTTTTTTAATTGTGGGGAGGGTACTGTAGGTTTTTGGTAAACATGTGTGTTTGGTTTTGGCAGAATTTAAAATTGAGCACCCGTAGGTTTATGCTATGCCTGGTCCCAGGACAGTTTCTTGCCAAAGAGAGGAGCCACCCGTGGTCTAGAGTCCAGTCCCGCTTTAATATTTTTATTCAATGAAAATGTACGCGTATAATATGTGCAAAAACGAGTTTTATAAAATAAGAGCAAATAAGTTGTAATTTTAGTAAATGTGCTCAAATTAGGGCTGACCAATTGACATTATTAATTACACTTGTTATGAATTTGACCTTTGCCTCCATCTTTATATTCTTGACAGCTAAACCACAATTGTTGAAATGTTCCAGTCGATGCTATTATTGAACCACCAATCCAGGCACCAAATCGCCTCTCAACAGACCCATTAGGTGAAATCATTCTCAATCTCATGCTAGCTGGTACACGAGATGTGAGATCCCGATTTAATCTTTCTGGAAAACCCTTTTGGCACACAAATAATAAATATCTTATATTAATAAACGATTGTATTTAAAAACATAGTTTAAATAATTATGCATTAATATTTACTTGTATCAATGAATTTCCACCAGTGACAACAATGTTATTATATAAGGTAGGTCTTATGTCCACATCGCACATCCCTGCGCTAGTGACAACAATATGGCTCATGCTTAACATAGAACCACCCATATTAGGGCTAGGATCAAATAACATTTCTGGTATTTTGAATCTTTCATTGCCAAAATCCTTAAAAATTTATATATTTTATAAAATTGTTTTTATGTTTAACCTTAGATACGTATTAAGTACATTTGTTTTTGATTGGAGAATTTTGTTCCACTAATAT